TTGCTCAACTAGCCATATAGGAGTATTACATATATGGCGACAACATTGGCCGCAGCGTGCTGCTGTATGAAAAAGTACCTTTAAGCCTATGTCACACTACGGATTTGGATTGAAATTGGATTGCAATTTGGTCAATCAGAGGGAAGATCAGTAAACTTAGGATTGGTTTTCTTTCTTCTGATTGGTCAAATTTCAATCCAATCTCAATCCCAATCCGTAGTGTGACATAGGCTTTAGAACCTGCACGAACAGTACAGAACTGAGGAGTGGGGGGCTTTCTCCGCGTTCCGTCTGGTTCCGTCGGAGATGCTATGCGCTGAACGGACGAATTTGCGTCTGCGGACCTTTCTCTCATTGAAAAGACAGTAGGAGTATTACGTATATGACGTTTATTCATGCTGAATTCTCAGGTTATAGTTAAATTGTAAGTTATGATAATGAAAAAACATACTATCTTAAAGATAGTGTTTGTTATTACTTTACATGAATGAGTATATTTCTACAAAATATTCACTTATAAACACTATCAAAATTGTCCTTTCGTTCAATTTTTATTGCTATAATAAGAGTGATAAGAATAAGGACCTAAGCACAATAGAAAAAATATTAGGAATAAAAATTAAAAACAGATGTTAAGTGTAATGTACAATGCAAAAAAATAAAATTATAAATGTGTATAAATATAGGCTGTATATCATGCAGTCATGACATATTCTTCTTGTATTTATATGTTATATTTTAGTTTTTGTCATTGTATAGTACATAACTTCTATTTCTAATTCTTGTTCCTAATATTTTCTCTATTGTGCTCAGGCCTTAAGGTTAACTTAATCTAACCTAACCTGATCTAATCTAAAAAACCTAAAAAACAAAAAACTAATTTTGTAGAAATGGACTTTGTGACTCGCAAAACTTGCTCCGACAATTAACGGCATTAAAAAGACTGCATAAAAAAAAACAAGCTTCAATTTTGTAAGTAGATAGAAATTTAAGAAATTTGTATAAAATAGATTTAATTTTTAATTTTATGGTATGGTTTTTGAATTCAATAACTCTTATTTATTTAAAATATTTATAAAAATACAATATTTTTTAACAGGTTGTGTACATTATGTATAAATGTGTGAATATAGAATAACAAAATCATATATATCAAAGAAGATGTCGATAAAAATACTTGCAGAAGTTGGATACAAATTAACATATCAAAGGTATGTATATATTTTTTAAAATAGTAAATATATAAAGGATATAATATATGATGCAAATACATACTACATTTTAGAAATATATGTAATATTTTTTAACTTTAAAGTTTTTTATACTAATAATTTAAGTTAGCATTTGTACTTTATGAAGATAAATATGACTTTGAAATAGTACATGTATACACATATACACACATTTAGTTTGCATATGTATGTGTACACATATCACTGACAGAAAATAATTGAGTTTATTTAAACTTAGAAGTTTATATGTATAATAGCTTTATATATATATATATATATATATATATATATATATATATTATATATATATATATCTTATTTTATATAAGAAGAAAACTTCATCTATATATTATAATTGTGTCATATAGATTGCAGTATTATATGCCCTGTCTGAATATATATAGAAGATCAAATGTACATCTTTATAATAATAAAGGATTTCATAGTACAACTGTGTATTGTATCACAGTAAAAGACAAAGACAAACATTTATCTAAGGTATATTTCTTAGGGCATAACACATAAAATAATCAAATCTTATATTTTTAAGTATATATATATTGTGTCTAATGTTTATTATTTTGATTTTTTAGATAAAAGAGTACACAACAATACAATACAAAGATGCGGAGACAATTTCAAATTCATACAACATTATAGAAGTAAGTTCTCGTTCAATAAAATTTAATAATTAAAAAGTTTAATCACTAAAAATAATGGTAAAAATTTTAAATTATCAGCCAAAACTACAAGAAATTCATGATGCAGTCAAATCTGTGAAGGTTGCTAAGGAATCTGTAAGTCTCAAAAGTATGTACAAATTATATTATATTTTTCCAATATTCAAACAAAATATAAGATATAGATATCAAAAGCTAAGTTAGATATGCAATAGAATTTATAATTAAAATTACATTTATAATTAAAATAATGCAAACTTTATTGTTCTTCTTAAGAACGTGTTAAAATTTTAAATAGGGTTTTGATTGATCAAGATACTATATTTTTTTATAATTTTTTTATTTCGTTACTTGCACATAAATTTTTATTCTGCTTATTGAAATAATATTTTTAGGAGTGGAACGATTGTATTCTGATCCAAAAGCTTCTGTACATAATATTTACGCAATAGTAACTCATGAGTTAAAGAATCAATCAGTTTTAACTTTGAATGCTAAAAGGGTAAAACGACCTGAATCGTGGGAAGTTATTTTAAATGTCACATGGCCAGAAACTGCAAGCTTTAAAGGAGTTGGTAAAACTAAAAGAGTAGCTGCTAGAAATGCGGCTTTAAAATGTTTACAATGGCTAGAACTGAATGGTAAATTAAAAAATGGTAAACCAATTATATATAGTGAAAAGGCAATAAAAGAAATGCGATTTAAGCCTGTCGAGTTAAATGTTCCTACTGAAATTTTAAAGAAAATGGTCGAATTGATTGAGACTTATGACATGGTAATAATCGGGTTATAATTTTTAAATGTAACTTCATGTTTAACTCAAAAGTATAATGTATAATGTGTGTAATAATTCTATTCAGAAAATACGAGGTATAATGACACGAGAAGATATGCTGTATTCTTATAATATGCAACATCAGACTGCATCCGTTCATCCAATTCTTGGTGAAATTAATGACACGAATGTTGATGCTCGTAATAAAGAATTAAGAAATAGATTACTAGAAAGAAGAGCCAAAAATGATCATATCAATCTACCAATCTTTGAATTCAAGTACGTATAATTTATATTTATTAAAATAAATAAAATAAAATACGCATGATTTTTATTTTATAAATTTCAAAATTTAACATTTTATTGTTTCTTGCAGAGAAGAAATTCTTTCTAAACTAAAAAACAATAGAGTTCTATTGATTGAAGGACACACAGGATGCGGCAAAACTACTCAAGTTCCGCAATTTATCATGGACAGTTATACGTGGAACGGAAATGCTACAGATTGTAACATATTAGTATCGCAACCACGTAGAATTTCGGCAATATCTTTAGCAGACCGTGTCACATATGAAAGAAAAGAGACCGTAGGAGACGTTGTGGGATTTCAAGTACGATTAGAACGAGTATTACCGAAGGAACTCGGTGGAATACTATTCTGCACTACCGGTATATTGTTGAAAAAATTACAGCAAAATCCTAGTTTAGAGGGTTGCTCACATGTAATTCTAGACGAGGCGCACGAACGTCATATTGATACCGATATGTTGATGATCTTACTCAAGAGAGCTCTCAAACAAAATCCTAATTTGAAGGTTCTCATTATGTCAGCTACTATAAATGCACATCTATTTCAAAAATACTTTAATTGTCCTGCTGTCAAAGTACCAGGTAGATTGTATCCTGTAAAAATGCATTTTTTGGAGGATATTGACCGTCTACCGAATATCGAGAGATACAAAACTCATGTTTACAAGAAATACAACAATGACGAAGACGAGAGACTTTCGGTTGATTATGAGAAAATTGTACAAACTATAAAATGGATTTCTCACAACAAACCGCATGGCGCTATTTTGTGCTTTTTACCAGGGTGGAATGAAATCACAAAAGTGCAGAGTATGCTTGAGAATTCTCCACTTAAAACAGAAAATCAATTAATTTTGCCGATTCATTCCAAAGTATCGAACGACGCACAGCGCAAGATATTTGCTCCTACATCAAAAGACACAAGAAAGATTATTCTAGCTACGGACATTGCCGAAACTGGTGTTACCGTTAGTGATGTTGTTTATGTAGTGGATTCTGCCATACGGAAAGAATCACGCTGGGACAATAATAAAGATTTACTATGTATAAGCAATCGTTGGGTCTCTAAGGCAAATATTCAGCAGAGGTAATTAAGAATGAATAATATTGTGTAAAACTATAATATATAAAGTTTTGTTTCATAAAAAAAGTCTAAAAATGTTTTTACACAATTGTTGTATGTTTGTTTTTGTTTAAATTCTATAATTTACTCTTACATTAAGACAATTTATTTTTATGCAGAAAAGGAAGAGCTGGACGAGTTCAACCTGGTGAAAGTTATCATTTAATTACCAAGGCAGAATATGACACTTTAGAACCACATCCATTGCCGCAGCTGTTGTGCAATCCCCTGGAAAAGGTGATTCTTGACAGTAAAACTTACACGAACGAAAAAGCAGAAGAATTTTTGCTCAGTTTTTTGGAACCGCCTAATAGAACTTCAATACAAAAAGCAGTGAACTATTTAATAGATCTTAAAGTTTTGGATAAAAATGAAAATCTTACAGCTTTAGGTAAACGAATAGCGTTATTCCCAACGCACCCGAAGTTTAGTAAAGCATTAGTATATTCTTCCATTTTCAAGTAAGTTTAAATAACAGTTTTAACAGTTTTTTTCTTGTTCTTTTATTGTTCATCAAAAAATTGTGTATTTTTTGTATATAATAGCTTAATGTTATCTTGTGTTTATAATAGCTGCGTACATCCTGTCATAACGATTGCAAGTATATTTTCTGGCGAAGACAATCTTTTTTATGGTGTACTAGATCATAAATTTGAAATCAGAGAAAATAAAAAACTGTATCATCCATCCAGCGATCACATTGCAATGGCTTGGATATTCAAACAATGGTCCTCGTACAACTACAAGAATCCACATTTGATACCAAAGTTTTGTAAAGAGATGAAGCTCCGACAGAACAGAATGGAAATATTGAGTCGTAAGTGTAATATTATTATAAATCACAAATTTATTTATTTCTTATATCTAATGTCAGACGTGCTTATTAAACTCCAATTATATCACGGAATTTATTTTGATATGCATAAAACTAATTTTTACAGAGATACGAGATACATTTGTTCAACAGTTAATCCAATGTCATTTATTGAACAAAACTGTAGATCACAATATAAATAACAATGATGTAGCAAATAAATTTGAGAGGAACGACGAAATGATAAGAGCCTTGTTGTATTCTGCTACACAACAGTTGATAGAGCACAGAAATATAGGATTTAAAAATGGAGTCATGCGAAAGAGCGTCAATGAACTCCGAACAAGGTGAGAAAACCTTACGTAGACTATAGATTTAAATTTACGGAATTTATAATTAATGTACTTTCAGAAATCATGCTAAGGCCGTACTTTCGGGAGAAAGTGTTAATTATAAGCGTAAAGTTTGGCCGAGTCCGTATATGACATATTTTAACGGATCACATTGTGAAATGAGGCGCAGCACAGTGATTCGTGAATCAAGCATAATATCACCCTTAACAGTATTACTTTTTAATCAAGGAGACACTCAGTGTCACGAGGTAATTACGATTTCCTAATTTGAGAACTATATGTATGTATTTATTATTATATTATACACAATACAAAGTAACATATATTTCGGATTTCAGCAAGAAGATGGAACAATAGAAATTTTAGTTAATACTGGGAAAGAACGAAAAAATATTTTAAGATTTTCTTGTGACAAAACGCAAGTATTTATTAAATAGTTTTTTTTTTTTTTTAATATAAGGATATAATCTTAAATTTTTATTTTCTTTTAGAACTTCTAATGTGCTCTTGGAGTTTAAAGATATTATGTGGGATCTGGTACAATATACATTGGAAAAACAAGGAGTTTTCGAATATAATTATAATCCAGATGTGAAACAAGTTTTTGAGTACAAGGATCAATTACTCGAAGTTCTTTCGGAAGTTCTGTATGTTTCGTCTCAATCTATCGAAAAAGTTGAAGAAAACAAACATCTAACTTGAAGTTAAATGTACTATTATAGTATCATGTATAATAATAATGTATTACTGTGATAATATATTATTATAAAATTTGCATAATAATGCATTTATTTATGTTTTAAGCTCGTTGAATATTTAAATAAAAATAGATAAGGAAATGGCAATAACAAGCTAACACCAGATGTTCGGGTACAACCCAGCAAACACAGGTATGTAACAGCAACATTGTCGTAATAAAACAAATGTAACAAGTAATATAACATGGTCGTTGCATGTAACGTCCATGTTAGTTGTAATTTCCTACTTATTGTATATTGCAGTTATATAATATGAATATAACATGTAAGTAGAATGTAATATAATTGTTATATAGTTACAGAAATGTTATATAAAAGTTATAATGTTATTACCAGCTAATAACAAGCAATATAATAGATATATAACATAATTATATTATAATTATAAAACAAAGTTATATAACATCGATGTTAATTCGAAGATTTAAAAAAATTTTTTAACAAACATTTTGATCCACTATGGGATCTTCTTCGGTGTTTTAATAAAAACTTACAAAATCTATGTAGCGTATCTTTTCTTATCCATATTCTTCATGATCTTGAATAGATTATGATTTTTTTGTAAGTTTTTATTAAAACACTGAAGAAGATTCCATAATAGTGGATCGAAACGTTTGGTAAAAAATTTTTTAAAATCTTCGAATTATAAAAGAATTGTACCCGAACATCTGGTGTTTTGTTATTGCCATTTGTTTATCTCTTTTTATTTAATGAATTTATTTATTATTATATTATTATCAGAAATATTAGTAGTAAATATATCGGAACACAGCCACAGCACAACTCTTTCAATTTGTTTTTTTAGCAAAAAGAACTTTAAGTGCACATGTGTGCGAGAACATGATTTACTTAATATTTCTATATTGATAGGAAAACGATAATATTTGTTTTTTCTACCTGAAAAAGTGGCTAATTCGACTTTTGAAATTTTGAGTACAAAAACTAGACATCTGGTTACAAATTAAAAGTATAATATGTGTGTGTGTATGAAGATCACAGAGGGGCTGCGGTTCGTTTCATGCTTAAGCGCACATTTATCTATAGTATACGTGACATATACTACAAATAAATGCGCGATTAAGCATAAAACGGACCGCAGCCAGGAAAAAGCATGGAGTTTATAGATATGAAGTGAGAATAGCCTATTCAAGCAATGAGTGGGAAATGTGAGCAAGGTCCATGGACATAAGAATACAAACGTAACCATATATGTAATACTCCTATATTGCTAGTACGGTGCCGACCTGAAGCTCACCGTTACGGTGCAGACAATATAGTAGCCTCTCTCTCCAGCTGCTTTGTGCGCATGCGGTGAACATTCAAGCACGCTTGCGCATTTCTCTTTCTCGCATTCTTTCTCTCACTTTCTAATGCTTTATCTCGCTCGCACTCACTTGGTAGATGCGCCTGCGCATAATGACGCTCGACCATCTATGCTCATATTAGGACTTCGTGCGTCTCCCTTTCTCGGGCCTCGTTCCTCTCATTGCGAAGATACGCGACTAGCAATATAGGAGTATTACATATATGGCTTAAAGTATTATTCTATTTTATCTCCGTGATTTTATTGTGCATTATTTCATCAAAGTATAGTGAAATACTAACAGATGGCAGTACTAGTGGCTCATATAAACATGGCTGACTAGGCTTTATCTTTTTTCGACAACGCTCCCTCCTTTACCACCGTGGTTTAGACATATATATAATACTCCTATATTGCTAGCAGAGAGAAATCTTAGAGCGGCCATTCTATTGTAATTTTTTACGACGGTTTCAGCCGCTGGTTTTAGCCGTATTTGGCCGTATTTCCACAAAAGTGGAACTCAAAGGCCGTTCTACATTAAACGCAAGCATCAGATCTCGTGGAATTGACCAATTGCAGAGTCAAATCAGCCAATCGACCAACGTGAGTGATCAGTTCCACGAGACCTGCGACTTGAGTTTNATGGAGAACGGCCTTTGAGTTCCACTTTTGTGGAAAAATGGCTAAAACCAGCGGTTGAAACCGTCGTAAGAAACTACAATGGCATGGCCGCTCTCAGGTTTCTCTCTGTTGCTAGTCGCGTATCTTCGCAATGAGAGGCACGAGGCCCGAGAAAGAGAGACGCACGAAGTCCAAATATGGACATAGATAGTCGAGCGTCATTATGCGCAGGCGCGTCTACTAAGCGAGTGCGAGCGAGACAAAGCATTGGAAAGTGAGAGAAAAAACGCGAGAAAGAAAAATGCGCAAGCGTGCTTGAATGTTCACCGCATGCGCACAAAGCAGCTGGAGAGAGAGGTTACTATATTGTCTGCACCGTAACATTTGGGCTTCAGGTCGGCACCGTACTAGCAATATAGGCAGGGTTGGGTTCACAGCATGTATAATACCGTATAATACATGCCCAACTTTGATGCTTACATAATCTAATGCAGCTAACAATTATGCAACTAAACAACAACTATACAAATTATAAACAGTATAGTTGTTGTTTAGTTGGATAATTGTTATTATACAAACATTTGTTTTGATAAAATACAATGTACAATATCTCATGTATAATACGTGAACCCAACCCTAAATATAGGAGTATTATATATATGGGTTTAGAGGTCAAATCCCTTCCGCACCATGGCTTCACTCCCCGCGCCAATACTATCCCTTAATGCTCCCTCCTTTATCTCCGTGGTAGGGAACGCGCAGTCTATACATTCTACGTTTATATTCCCATATCAGAACATTAGTGTGCTCTTGCGCATCGTTTCTCAACAGCCAATAGGGCTGCGTTCCGTTTTACGCATATGCGCGCATTTATCTATAGTGCACGTGACGTATAGTACAGATAAATGCGCGCATATGCGTGAAACAGAACGCAGCTTGGGAAAGTTGCTCCATCATCGTTCATATTGAAGCGGTAAAACGAATCGAATAAAAAAAAAGTTTTTGTAGACACGAATGTTTTGTAATATATATTTTGTAAATCAGGTTTTACAGAAAAAGAATTTTTTGTAGATCAAGTTTTAATTTGATAATTTCAATACAATACGTGTTGTGCGTGTATTTGGCGCTTATTCTTACCTTTTTTGAAAGACGTAAATTTTTCGAAATATCACTCATTTTATATTTTGTAGTATTATTATGGTTTGTAAAACAGGTACAGAGAAAGAATTTTTTGCATTATTAAATGAATTTTTAATTTATTACTTTCAATACAATATTACTAAGATAAGTAATATTACAATATTACTTATTTTACTTAAGTAATCACTCATTCTTGGAGAATGGTTAAGCAGGCAAAACTTGTATGATTTAAAAAATGTATTTTACAATGTTTATAAAAATTTAAACATAAAAAACTTTGCAACTTATCGAGCAACGTTTCTTATACTGTTATTATATTATCCCACATAGCATCATAAGTAGCGCAAACGTTTCTGCAACGGGTTTTCCGAAACTCAGCAACGTTTCGTTAAACGTTTCTAAAACGTCGTAGTAACGTAGCGGAAATGTCGAAATGTCCGCTTTTTAAGTTTCGGTCCGATTTTGTTGAAACGTATGAGAAACGTTGCCCGATAATAAGTTGCAAAGTTTTTAATGTTTAAATTTTTAAAAACATCGTAAAATACAATTAATCAACCATGCAAATTTTGCCTGCTTAACCATTCTCCAGGAAGAAGTGATTACTGAAGTAGTGCATGATTTCAAAAATGTATTTTTGAACAAGTCGACTCGAAAGTCATTCTGTCTTTGTTTCTCACTGAATACTGAACGAAGACAGAATGACTTTTGTGTCGACTTGTGTCGACTGTGTCTCCTAAAAGGAAAGCAGCCTATATATATGTAGAAATAGAAACACATTAAAAAATGAATAGGGCAAACATTGCATAAGTGAGAAGAAAAAGATTATAACAAATAGATATATGCCGAAAGTTAAATAAGCTTATGTCAAAATTAATAGACTTTATTCATATAAAAATATGACGGTGAAACAATTTGATAATGGCTGCTTTCCTTTTAGGAGTCACAGTCGACACAAGTCGACACAACAGTCATTCTGTCTTCGTTCAGTATTCAGTGAGAAACTGTAAGAATCGTCACACTGATTAATATAAAAATTGTTTATTCAGTTTTATTTTGTACAGTTTTCTCGTGACGATGTTACAATAATTGTTTAAAATAACTGCGCGACTATGATTACAATACACAGTTCACTACTAATAACTACGTGATGATAAATGATTGACTGTAACTGANTGCTTGATTCTGACTGACTGACTGCCCGCCTCGGTTCGAGGGCGCGCTTTTATAGGGCCTGAGTTCGGCCAAGGAAGGTTCTGGAATTTTCCTTATTTGGTAATATTCTAGAGCATTCTCGAATGTTCGAGAATAATCTAGAATGTTCTAGATTCGGCTGTGTGCTAGGACAATCATTTCCTGTGTCGAAAGATTGCCTTATATGGTAAGGTATTTCGAAGGGTCGATGGTGCGTCACGGTTTTATCGCTAACCGTCAGTTTTTATAATACTTAAAATAAACATGGAAAGTTCTAGAATCTACGCGTAGCAACTAGAGTAAGCTAGACGATGGTCACAAAACAAAGACAGAATGACTCTTGTGTCGACTTGTGTCGACTGTGTCTCCTAAAAAAAAAGCATCCATTATCAAATTGTTTTACCGTCATATTTTTATATGAATAAAGTCTATTAATTTTGACATAAGCTTATTCAACTTTCGGCATATATCTATTTGTTATAATCTTTTTCTTCTTACTTATGCACTGTTTGCCCTACTCATTTTTTAATGTGTTTCTATTTCTACATATATATAATTCTATATACACAAAATATATAGATATAATATAATATAATAATAATCTATTAATATAATTTAATATAATTGTATTTATTTAGTGGCTACATATATTAGTATATAATTTTTCAAACGAGACTTTTACAATATACGTTTTTTCCATATACCGAAGACATTATCATTTTATTTATTAT